GTCCTCCTCCGCTGCTTGTTAAAATTGCCCAGATTTGTCCAAGGAAGACCTTGAGGATATAGCAGCGGTATGCTCTAAGCCTCTACTTGCATTTAGACACTACTTCGTTGCTTACCTGTATAATGTTCTTATTGTTTCTGTTCTTTGATTTTAGGTTGCTATTGCCCTCCGCTTAGATGGATTGGTAATTTTCTTCCAATTGTAAATTTTGTATATTTCTTGTCCATGTCTTTAAAGTTTCTTCTTTTTATTTGATTACTAGAAGTTTCTTCTTGATGATGCCTTTTAAGTCCTTTCTATATATGCTTATATAATCCATACGGAAATTTTTCTCACATATTTTGTCCGTATGACATTTTTCTCTCTCTCTTGCTTTTGATTGTTTTCCCTGACGTTCTTCTCTTTCCTGTTTTCTAGATTATATCTAACACAACCATCTCGAGACCAGACCCCGTAGATAAAAATCCAGTCTCTGCCGAAGCTGGTGGCTTAAGCGGGAAGCCTCTCTTTGATTTATCAACCAACATCTTAAAGGAGATGTATATGCTAACTAGGGTATGTTGTCTATTCCTATAAAAAGTTCGAATATATAGGATTTGTCGGATTTTCTTCATTGTATCTTCTATTTCTAAACATGTAGTGATTTGAAATGGTCATATCGTCTGCCTTTCTTTTCCAAAAGCCACACTCCTCTCATTTACCCCACCGTAACATATAAAACATGAAGAAATGCTGAAAATGGGGTTTGTAAACAAACTATCTGCACCGGTGTGGAAATATAGCCTCTTGGAAGTACAGAAGTGAAAGTTTGCTATATAAAACGTCACGGTTATGTTTTATAATTTGGTCGATGTTGTTTCTTATGTTTTGTAGTTGTCAATTCAAATTCTTTGAGTCTCTGAGCGGTAAATTCATATTGTTTATCTGGTTTATTTACATAGATACTGGCCTTCTTGATGCTTGATGTAATTTACATCTGGTGCCTGTCGTATAGGAACTGTATATATAATGTCCATATTTCATTACCTTATTGGACACCCCAAGATGCTTCAAGGTGGCTTGTCCCCTGGTTATATACTCTAAATTTGGATTTGTGTGATCAAAAACTGTTCATGGTTTGACGAGCTGACCGTTGTATCAGAATTTAAACGGTTTCTTGCTGTTTCTTAATATCTTCACTATGCAACTCTTTTATTCAAATCAAATTTGTAAAGCATTCGGATACTTCGACTCGTCCTAGTTTCCATTTGAATTCTATTAATTTGCCCGTAAAGTTCTTAAAGAGTATGTTTCATAATTATAAAGCTGACATGCATACCTCTTTGCAGGGAAAGATCCCTTTAATAGGCTGTGGTGGTATTAGCAGGTAACCGTCACTAGGCTACGTTACTCGCCATTATCACGATCGTCGTTGCCATTATTAATATTGTTATCTATTTACACATCCATTGTTAACTCGAATTATGCATCCAATGCAGTGGTGAGGATGCATACAAAAAAATAAGATCCGGAGCAACGCTTGTCCAGCTCTATACAGCATTTGCATATGGAGGCCCTGCCTTAATTCCCCGAATAAAGGTATTCTCCGTATCCGACACTCACGTACGAGTCCGAGTAACACGATGCTTTTGTCGAATGTTTGTATTGTGATTCCGATGACGATGGTATTTTTTTCCCCGCAGGCTGAACTTGCCGAGTGCTTAGAAAGGGATGGTTTCAAATCCATCCATGAAGCTGTTGGTGCTGATTGCAGATGATATAATTAACACCCTGCCTTGAACCAAATAACTTTCATCCTTGTGCCCTGGATTTAATATTTATACATGATTTGGCCACTCTTGTTTCATTTTCCATAAAATTCATCCTCCCACATTTCATCAGTTTGAGAGAGATTTGCCTGTATACTATGAGAAAACAATTTTGATATCATGTATCATGCAGGACTGATTTGCAATATTTCTAGTTTCTCTAAAACTCGATTAAGCTCGTTAACTACTCGAGTTGAACATTATGATATTCGAATTTGATTGTCTCATGCATTGTAATTGCTTGAGTTCGAAGTCAACTCGATTAAGCTTGTTAACTATTTGAGTTGAATTGAATAAGTTTGTTCGAGTTTTTGTTCAAATTTAATTTAATTTATTATAATATGGGAGTGATTGATTTTAGTTTAAATCACTCATTAGTTATATATATACATGTAAGATTTGTAAGGTTAATTAAATAATACTTAAAATTATAATATATTTACAATGTTATTTTTTAAAAGTAAATTTTGAGATTGATGGTAGTATAGAGGAGTTAAGGGATTGATGTTAAGAAATAATTTATATATAGTTGTAGTTGGAAGATTAAAATAAATAAAATTAAAGTTCATGGATTAAATTGTAAAAATTAAAAAATTATCATAAAAATACGAATTAAAGTTATACATGTATTATATAGTGGTTAAGGAACATGTGGTCTAAATTTGGTACATCGAAGGATTTAAAACAAAAGAAATAAGGAATTTAAGATCAAATTACAAAACAACTAAATTATTTTTAAATCGAATCTAATTTTACTCATCTTACTTATATCTTTATAATTTTTAAAAAGATGAAATTTTAGTATTTATAAAAAATAAAATATAATTCCATCATTCAAATAGTTTATAAACTTTATATTTTTAACAAATAAAAATAAATAAATAAATAAATAATTGATTTTAAAATCTATCTTAGAACAACATTACTGAAATTTGAAGTTTATACTCAAAAGAAGGTATCAAACAAATAGGCCTTGGCACACTCTCTATTAAGTGTGTATGGACATGTGCCCTTAAATGAAAGGAAAAAAATACTACAAATATGGTATAACCACCCTAATTTGAAACTTTCTGGGGCCAACATAAACTTAATTTCCTTTCAACATAAATAAGAGGCCCAACTACAATGGAACATGCCCTTTAATCAATATGATCAGTTTATTTTACTTTATGCATTTTATTTTTATAATTAATATTTTATTGGGTAAAGCACACAAATTGTCCCTCGACTATAGGGATTACTTTATTAAGTCCGTCGACTATTAAAAGTTATAAAATGGTCCTTTGACTATGGAATGTTACTCTATTAAGTCTCTCGACTATTAAAAGTTATAAAATGATCACTCGACTATTCATTCCAAACTCGTCCTTTTCCTTTAAAATTTGGCGGTTATTTAAGTTGGACGTTAACATCATGATTGGGATAAGATAGTCGTTTGAGAGTCTATGATCAAATTTGATCATATCACAGTCAACAAGTTAACGTTTAGCTCATAATACTATCGATTTTTTAACAGAAAATGACGAATTTGGAACATAAAGAATAGTCGGATAACCATTTTGTAACTTTTAATAGTTGAGGTACTGAACAAAGCAACACTCTATAGTTGGAGGATCATTTTATAACTTTTAATAGTCGAGAGAGTTAATAAAACAATACCTTATAGCCATTGGACCATTTGTGTACTTTATACTATTTTATTTTGTACAATCCTATTTTCAATATTATCATCTAATCCTTAGTATGTAACAAGAAAATATGTTGATAAGATCGGCGTGACATATTTGATATATGTATAAGAAGGGCATTTCAATGCGAGGGACCCCTTTAATTATTGGTGTCGTGACTAGTTTGTTATAAAGAAATTAATGCATCATTTGGACCGACATATTTACTCGTTACATAAAAATGGCCAAAACTATATAAGCTAATTTATTTTAGTGGTTAAAAAAATTATTATTGTTTTTAGATATCACAGATACGACCAACGTCTGCAATAGATGATTGAGCTCACGCCATGGCCTTGCATGGAATTCACCACATATTTGATCATTAGGAAACTTATATCGCAGTTATTTTTCCTCATTCGGATCGACAACATGCATGACTGCTGCATGTGTTTATGAACCTCAGCTAGTTGAATTCGACTCACACTCGAATTGAATGAATCGACAAAGTTTCGACGATCTGAACATCTTTCGAAGCGAACCGGCTTCTAATAACAAAGTCTATACTCTATATCACTAGTTCTTACTAGAGAGCTTTGAATACGATGTTTGACAGGATCGATCGAACTGGTTGCGGAAGAAGAAAGGATAAAAACCGAACACGAATCGAGCATTGCATCTCAGGAAGATAATCGAGTAGCTGAAGCAAAATTAAGTGCAGGTGAAACTGGGAAAAACAGATGGGTCTTTCTTATTCGCACATTAGGCACCCAAATCAATCCAACGTGCATAAAGAACACATTATTTGCACTCTGATAAATATCTAAGAAATGGCTAAGAATACAGCTAAAAATTGTCTAAAACAGGGGTTTTACAGAGAGCAGCCTGTACCGGAGCTGGAGCCAGAGTTGTTTTTTCGCACATCAGTCTGAGATCGAGCAATCGACATCGACTATGAAACCAGGTGAGATGGGTAGATCAACCGATGTCCGTGGCATATTACGAGCTATAATGTTCGAAGCTAAGCTATCCCGGTTAGAAGCATAAACACTAGTAATTCTCAAACACCATTAGCGAGAAGTGTTATTCCAGCACGTTCAGAGAGAACATAAATCCATAGTAGCTGCAACCCCATCATAGAGCGAATCTCGTGTTGTCGGCATCGGTAACCCGATACCGACCGGATCGATTCGAATGCCGACAATGCAGCCTCAACACGGGAAATGAACCTCCACGGTTTCTTCTCCCAACCGGAAAAATATGAGCAATTCCTTGCACAAAATTATTCTCATAATCAATTTATTTGGATAATCAGTCAGTAAAACCCTAATTTCTGACTCCCTCCTTTCCAAGCATAAACCCTAAAACCCTTAAACAATTACAAATGCTCTAAAACCCTAATTGATCATCAAATAAAAGTGCTAAGGAAAAACCCTAATTTGAATCACGTTCATCATTCCATAGGCCAAATTATCCACCTCAAACCCCAATTCCCTAACCCTAAAATTCCAACTACAAACCATCTTTTAACATTCACGCAACAAAAGCAACAACCATGCACAAATATATATATATACTCCCAACAAACAATAGGGGTGAAATGGGCCACCAAAATTCAACGCGGATCCTCGTCTCTCCGACCCGATCCTCCCGGAGCACCGGACAGCGAGGCTAGTAAATTTAGGTGACCGGGAATATAATTGCCGACCCTCGCCGCCGATGCTTCTCCCGTCGCTTGCAGTTGCTGAACGAACAACGGAGCAGCTGCAGCAGTACCATGTTGCTGAGCAGCCGCCTGCACTACCGTATCCGGCGGAGGCGCGAAGCTCCACAATTGACCAAAGTCGTGTCTCGTCGGAAGAGCCCAGAACCCGCATGTATGCGTCCCCGCGGGTCCCACGATGGACCCCAACCCCGATCCAACAGTGAGTCCACCGGAATCGTCCTTCTCGGAGTTATCGTCTTCGGACCTGACGCGTTTCCCGAGTATAAAAGGGGTGGGGCCCAGTAAAGGCTTATGATCCGAAGCGGACGAAGAGGTGGTCGACGACAAGGGAGTGGAATTAGACCCGCCGCCGACGGAAACGGACAAGGAGGAGAAGCTGGCGGGAGTGGTCCCGGTGCCGGTGGCGGCAATGATAGAAGGCTCGGCCTGACGCAACAGCCACTCGATGGTCTGACCGTCGGATTTATGACCCAACTCTCGAGTCAACTGAAAGACACGAGCGGCACAAATGATGGGCATCCTGATCCTCCTTCCACGACCATCGACTTTGCTGTGACGGTCCTTGGTGGGAGGCTTTTTAACGGAGACGGAACCATTGGTCGGCGGCGCCGTTGCTCCGTTTGTAGTGGCACCCTCTGAATTCGACATGGGGCCCAGCAGGAGCAGCCTACTACTACCGCTCTCTTTGCACTTAAACCTTCACTTCGTATAGACCGGAAAAGATTGTTCCTCTGTAATTTGGGGTTATTACTGTGAAAAAATTAATGGACAGGAACCAAAAATCTTCAAGGGAAAATGAAAATGAATTGGGGAATCAAAATCTTTCTGTGCAAAGAAGATGGTGTTCGAGCGATGGAGAGAGAGGACCAAGGTCTCAATGATTGCGAAGCAGGAGCTGGTGGAGACATGAGGAAGGCCACATGGGTGGTGGGTCCCTCCGTACACATAATCCCAAAAGATTACTCAAAAATCTAAAATTTAACTCGCCTCCTCCAACTTAATTTAATTAAACTCGCACTTAAATTTAAATTTTAAATATTTGAAATTATAAGAATTACACGAGTTGGTTCAAATCAAATAATATTATCGATGTACATGTATTAATCTTATGTTCACTCAATAAATTATATATAAAAATTATATTTAAACATTTGAATATCACCATATATATATATTCAATTGTCTCCTTATATTGCTGAGTAAAAATGGAAAAGAATATTCATATTGGGTTGAAACATAATTTAATTATACATGTTTTTTTGTGCACTCTCCTCTCCTTTGTGGTTTGTGGGAAATAACCAAACCATCAATCATAAGTTGGTTGTGGGGTATTGATGTACTTCAAGACACAAAATGTTATTCCTTCAATTTGATTGATGAGATGATTATATGGTTCTATAGGGTCAAATACATACTTATTATTTTAGATTAGATATTAAAAATCACATACTCATTATATTAAAAATTTTTAAAATTTTTAAATCCGTCGGATTTATTACGACAAATTGCATCATTTGATCATTTCTCCCCTCGATTCATGGCTACATGTAGGGCGATTTGACCAAACTGACATATATTTATTGAATATTTACCTTTTTAGCACCGTTTGATATATATTTCTCGAAGTGGCACCCTTTCGGCTGAGCTGGCGAAAGGCGCGTCCCCAGGGATGCGCTTTACCCGTGTTTTCGCTGAGTTGGATGCCACGTGTGGAAGGCGCATCTCCGGGGACGCGCCTTCCATTAAATGCCATAAATGCCCCCATCCGTTTTCCCTAACTACCCCTCCTCCTCCCCTATATAAACCCCCTCAACCCTCCCTCATTCTTCACACCAAAATCATATTCTCCTCTCTTATATAACTCAAATTCTCTAACTGTTTGAGTTTTAAATTTGTTATTAGTGGTAAAAAATTTATTTTTATGTTAGTATTTTTTTAAATAGTTATTATATTTTATATTAATATATTTATGTAAATATTATTTTTTTATTAAAATAATATTTGTATAATTATTATTTATTTAGAATTATTAATTTTTTGTGCTAATTATATTTTTTTGTCTACAGTTATAATGGAAAAAAAATGTTGTTGCGATTGGATATTGATCATATCTCCATACATTTTAGCGATATGGTAATATTTTTTTATAATTAATGTTAATATTTAAATTTATTTTTATTTTAAAGTTATTATGAATTTATATTTATTTTAATTTTTTATAATATATATTATTTATGATACTGATCGTATTTTAGAGACTTTTATTAAAAATTCACGTATACCGAAACCGGAACGTATTTTGCCATATTTGGCTTCTGCCGGGTTCGGGTATATTGCAACAATTATTGGCGGTTGCAAACTTGAACCTGTCCTAATTTCTGCAGTGATTGAGAGGTGGAGGCCCGAGACACACACTTTTCACCTTCCATGTAGAGAGGCCACAATTACATTGGAGGATGTCTCTATGCATCTGGGGCTTCCCGTCGACGGAAATATGATGTGTGGTATGGCGGATGGTGATTGGCAGTCAATGTGCATTGATTATCTTGGAGCTGCTCCGCCAGAGTTTAATGGAGGTAGAATAGCTTTATCTTGGTTGAAAGCTAATTTTGAGGTTTTAAATGAAAATACTTTAGAGGATCAAGCAAAGGCATGTGCTCGGGCATATATTCTACGAATAATTGGAGGAATATTGATGCCCGACAAATCTCGCAACCAGGTGCATTGTATGTGGTTGCGGTATCTGATCGATTTTGATGAAGCTGGAAGATATAGTTGGGGCGCTACAGTTTTGGCATTTCTCTTTAGAGAAATGTGTCGGGCGACGAATTATAAGAAAACTGCTATCGGTGGATGTCTCCTGCTTCTACAATCATGGGCGTGGTTCCGCATGCATTTCTTATGCCCGATCGTGAATGAACCATACGTATTCCCCTTATTGTTGAGGTAATTTTCGAACTAAATTTTGATTTAAATATTTTTAATTAAATAGGGTGATATTTAGTTTATATTATATTTCATAGGTGGTCGATGAAAAGAAAGAACCATAAAAGTATACCTACTGGGTTAGAGGAAATTCGTTTACTTATTGATACGAAAGTTGTGTCTGAGGTATGTTTTTAAATCTGTTTAAATATTAATATTTTAATTTAAAATGCTAGATATAATTAGAATATTTTATTTATTTGAATTGTATATTTATATTTCAGTTTCAGTGGATACCTTATGCGAGCGATGAAAGGAAGGCTTGCATCCCACCCCACCTTAGTGGGTCATTAGAGGTATGGATATCGGTTATACCTCTTATATGTTATGCTATTATTGAGTGGTATCCAGTTGATCGCGTGCTCCGTCAGTATGGTTGTACGCAATATATTCCTGGAGCACCTAGGAATTTAGACGACCTGCATAACATAGATAGACGAGGAAAGAAAGAGGTTAACTGGGTGGTGAGACACAGAGATTGGATTGCGCTTTGGGAGAACCTATATACACTGTTGGCCCCTCGACAATATTATGCTGAAACTGGTCATATGGTTACGGATAACTATATGGACTGGTTTAATGAAAATGGGAAGTCGTTTATACTTTCGGCGAAGCACGAGGGGTTAACATTCCTAGGAGCCGAGAAAGACGTCAACCGTCTCAATATCATCGTCCCCCGACGCGTGGACGGAGAGAAGGCGCTACCGGTTCTGCATCAGTCCCACCACAACATCCTTATCCGTCGATGTCGCAGGGGTACATGCCCAGCCCTCAACTTCATATGCCAAGCCCACCAGTTCATATGCCATCTCCGCAGGGTTACATTCCGAGCCCGCAGGGTTACATTCCTAGCCCGCCAGGTTACATTCCGAGCCCGCAGGGTTACATTCCTAGCCCGCCAGGTTACATGCCTAGCCCGCAGGGTTTTATACCATATGGAGGTGCATATACGACTATGTTTAATGATCCAGCATATGGTTCATATGCATCTTATTTGGCTGGTGGTGCTTCTCCGCAGACACGTCAATCTCCATCTGGATCACAGACATCGATGCCAATGTTTCCACAGTTTTCACAGTTCCCGGGGAGCGGTGGGATTGTTACTAGCACTCCTCCAGGGTCATTATTTTATACAGGCCCTTCAGCCCCTTCAGCGTCATCTACACCAAATGAAGAAAATGCTGCTGATGATGATAGTGAAGATGAGGAGACTGAAGAACAAGTTCCACGAAGAAATCCTCCACGAAATAGACAACCACCGCCATGTGGAACTCATTCGAGAAGACGACATCGGTGATCTAGTTGTATTTTAATGTTATTTAAATAGTTATATTTCAGAATTTTATGCAATTTGGTTATGTTATTTAAATGTTTCATGGTTGTTACATATATATTTTTAATGTTATTTTTTATTCACATTTAACATTAAATGTTTGATAAATGTTTTTAAAATACAAATTATATTATTCTAAATTTAAAATAAAAATAAAAATAATATTATTCAAAATTTAAAATTAAAATATAAATTATAGTATTCGAAATTTAACATTAAATTTCAATTTAATATTCCAATTGTATGCGATTGTGGTTTCTTTCAAGCACTCAAATATTCATGCTCTCATGTCATTGCAACTTGCTCACATTCGCATTTGGACTACAAAAATTATGTTGATCCTATATACCAACTTTCACAAGTATTCAAGGTATATGAATTCGAGTTTCCGCCCATAGGAAACGAAAGAGACCCAAATGAGATTCAAACTTGACTTACAATTGTACCATATCCATTGCTATTGAGGGACTCGGGTCGTCCAAAATCTACTAGAATACATTGTGATATGGATATTCGGGAGAAGTCAACAGAACAAAAACGATGTGGGCATTGTAGAAACATCGGGCACAATAGAAAAAAATGTACAGCTCTGTTATCATCATATAACCGTTAACTCTTATGTAATTAATATTGTATTTAAATGAATGTTTTTGTTTATAATAATTTAATGTTATTGCATTTTATATAATTTGTCAATGTATGTACACCTACATAATTTTTTTAACTTTTAAATACATAAATATTTTCAATATATTTATTTAATATAATAATTAATATTATTAGTTATAATTTTTTTTTAAATATAATAATAATTCTACCTTCTAAGTAGAGAAAAATATTAAATTAAACAAATTAAAAGTTATTAAAAAATTTATGTATACGACGACACATTTCATGTTCTGATTGGAGGATTAAATTTATTAAATTAAATTTTCAATAAGACTAATTTCATAAAATATGTAAGTCTTGAAGATTAAATATGTAATTATACTAATTTATTAACTTATGCATCAATATTTTCGTTAAATATTAATAAGAGATGACTAGATTGATAATATTTAAATAATTAACTGATAAAATTAATAGATCGATAATCAAAATCAAAAATAATAATATAACCATATGTGTAATATTATAATTTCATACATTTTTCCTATAACTACAATAAAATCAAAACTAGTTTTCATATATTGTTCTATCATATTAAAGTAGATAATTCACTTCACCTTTAACACACATTAACAAAATACATTTGATAATTCTTACATTATAATCGAAACACTTTACATAATATATTACTAATTTATAATAATAATAATAATAATAAAATATTTATTATTAAACAAAATACCAGCGGGACAGTCGAGTCATCAGAATCCCGTGAACACACGAGGCATCCAACTCAGCGAAAACCCGGGTAAAACGCGTCCCCGGGGATGCGCCTTTCGCCAGCTCAACCGAAAGGGTACTACTTCGGAAAATATATATCAAACGGTGCTAAAAAAATAAATATTCAGTTAAATAATGTTAGTTTTGTAAAATCG